ATCGGACTATTATTTTGACTTTTGTTTTTCAAATTTCATTTTTTAGACGTGCCCTACAGACAATGTCGTCATCAAGAAACTGCCAAATGTTTAAACATAGAAAAACTAAAAAAATGTATTATCAGTCCCCGCCATTAAATTCCGCCACCCTAAAGTTTTGTGGTACTGTTTTATTTTTCATCCGAATTTCATTATTTTTTTTACCAGTTAAATCCATTTATTTTAATTATTCTTTTGTTATTTTAGAAACCAATTTTCTTCGTTCTGTATCCTGTGGGAAAGAGGGTAATTTGGTAATCTTCCATGTACTCCAAACTTTTTCTTTTCTGAATCATGAAATGCAAATTTTTAAATCAAACGTTCATAATTTTCCTAATTTTTCTTGAAAATGAATGTCTATCTATGTTATCACTTAAAAATAATCGACGTTGCTCGACAAGTGGGTAAATATTTAAATACGGTATTGCCCGGAAAGTGAATTGGTAGCATGGGATCAACAGAAAATTTATTACTCCGCTGGTTTTTTTTCGAGGGATATTTAAACTCAAAAGTGTATAAGGAAAAACCACAAAATTTAGATCCTTTGAAATTTAGAAATAGATACCAAATAAGACTTTTTGATGAAAATATCCTGAGTACTGCTTTGGTTCGTTTTGGTTAATCGAATATAATAATAATAATCTTATAACATTATATAATACATAGATATACAAATAACAACCTGTTATTTACCTACAGCTTTTTTCAAATTTAACCAAATTCGTATAAAGCAAAGCCACCTAAGGTACCCAAACTCTACTCTCATAAGGGAATTTCTTAATAATAACTTTCCTCAAAGATGGATAGGTACCTCGATTTTAGATTTTTTATGGGGCTATATAGAAAATTAAGTTTAAACATAGTAGAACTTCGAGAACTGCCATTGAGACCAACAATTCTTTTTAATTGAATTGAAAGGATTAGAAAAATGTACCAATTTTGCATTAGACAAAATAGTCGCCAATCTCAAAATTAGTTTTTTATAATTTTTTGTTATATTATTAAAATGTGCTACAAAACTTGTTGCAAACTTAATGCTACAAACTTTCAATTGTTTGTTATTGCTATTCTACTAAAGTAAGCAATTATTTTGGAAAATTGCCATCTATTTGCTTGTTTCTGAGAAAAACTGCATACTATTATATATTTTTGGTAAGGTAAAAAAAACAAATTTTACAGTCTCTAAATATACAGGGAAGTAGGGTCCGAAAACTTTTTGACTTGGCCCTGTATACTATTTCGGAATTTTAATACTAAATCGATATTTATAATAAGTAACATTACATAATCGAAACAATATGCATTACTGAACCTCTGAAAATAAACCTTGCGATTTTTTATTATTTTTTTTTAAATTGTTATTTTAATTTGGCTACAAGATGCCGCTCCTTACTAACGAGTGCTGAAATCAGCGAATTTTTAAATAGAAATTTTAGACAACAGATTGAGCAAAATGACATCATCTGGCCGGCAAGGAGTCCGGATTTAAACCCACTGGACTTGTCTTTGTGGGACAATTTAAAAGAGACAGTACACAAAAATCAGTCCATAGAAGTTTTGCATTACAATTGGGGATGCAACTAACCAATTAAATGCCACCAATTACATATTAAGTGTAATAAATCATTTTGAGATAACATACATATTATTTAACCATTCTGTACGTAGTTGAAATAATACAAAAAAAAATTAAAGATCATTTCACTTTTGTTTAAGCACTCATAGATTTCGAGATAGGCCCTTCCCAAACCGGCCACCCTATATACATTTTTAACATTGTTTACTATAGAATTAGATCCCCCGCGATATCCATCGATTTCACTTCCAATTCTTCTCACCTGTGTTGCCGGGGGTGGAAATGGATTAACCGGTCCGTGAAACCTGACTAACGAGATTGACTGAGCGGCAGCAGAAGAGTAGGTAAATTACTTTATTTCGCTAAATTTGCCGACTTTCATCGGAGGAAAACGAATCCTTAGAGATGAGACGCGGGGGGGGGGGGGGGGGGGGAATTCTATGCGCATGGGCGAAATTATTGTGGATATCTGTCAACTGGCTGCGTGTAATTTAGATTTTGTGATATTTTGTATAGAAAATTCTTTAAAATGCCTGAATATATGTGTGCCTTTCGCGTATGTCATTCAAAACAAAGGCATTTCCGAAAGAAATGTATCGGTTAAGTATCTATATTTGAACTTTTTGAACTTTTTGAATTTGAAATCAATACAAATTGGAAAAGTCAAAAAAAAGGTAATGAAAAATCGAACGTTAACAAATTGAATTATTTTAGATGTTGATATTTTAAAAATATTGTAAAACTAAGAATATTTTACAATGTTAAATATAATGACAGAAATTTTAAAAATTACAAAAATAAAAAAAATGTTAGAAAATTAAGAATTTGGTCGCATTTATAAAAATAGTATCTATCTTATGTCACACACATCATTTTAATTTTTCTATGTTTTTAAGACCCCAAACTTCGCGCTTGTGCAAAAAAATGTCCACTGTTTTCCACACAAATAATACTTTTTTAAATCTTCAAATTGAATTTTAGCAGGTTATAATGTTTTGGAATGCCGAAAATTTCTTAAATGTTTGTACTAATTTCGTAATGTAAGTATGTTTAATGTACATTTGTCTATTAGTCTTAAAAATTGAGAAATAAATAATTTTCCTGGTTTGAGAAAGCACTTTTTGTATTAACTTTTTAGAGCAGCCTGGCCATATACGCGCAATATAAATAACAAAAATATATTTTTTCTATCAAAAACTAATTTTCATAGTGTAATATGCAACACTCCTTTCTTAATTATTCGCTCCGCTCGAGTATAAACAAACTCGTGACTAAAATGATTGTTATTCCTATTGCATATACTATCTAGTATCTAAATTTACATTACCTTGCTAAATTAAGTTATGTATACAGGGTTTTTTGCTCAATCAGTTCATTAAAAGTTTAATGGGACGTTATTTAGTAACGCCAGCCAATGTTTGCAAATAGGTAGGTTCCAATAATATTTTCGACGTTCTGTCACTTCCAGTTCAAGCAGAAGTTGTTGCCAACTTGCTTATTTCATATGGAACACCCTGGATAATATTATATTTTGAGATTCTATGTGAAATTCTAAACATATTTTCTATGTAATATCCTATACCAATGTCTAACCGATTTTGAAATATTTAACCTTTAAACAAATTCTAAAAAAGAGGCTTAAGTTCAAAATTTAATCTATTAGTACACATAAAAAACATGAATCCTACTTTGAGTATGGACGTACTAGTTAAATTAATAAATGCCAACTACAACTGATCAACTAGATATTGAGGGCGGAACAACAGTGTGTTGGAAACAAGACGACTAATCTATTTTATTCTGGCATTTTACTGCCGACTGTGCCATCAGAAATCGTATCGATTATAGATAGATAGACTTTAATTACTCTCGGTTCAATAATGTGGATCCGCACCAATTCAAGGTCAACAAAACTAGCCCCCCCCCCCAACAACAAACGTGCCGACAAGTTTTATCACTCTATGGGTTCGTATTTCTCTGCTTTCAGGTCGAGATTAGCAACTGTTCGTCGGTAAACGAGATAGACCGCGCAGTCCGGGAGACCCGGATTAGGCTTCCGTTCTCCTACGGGCCGAGCCTTACAAATCGATCCTGGTAGCATTCGCAATCCGGGCGTAGTCATGGCGACCGCTTCCTCCAACTTTCTGTTGATGCCCGTCAGACGGATATGCACTAATCGCGGCTGTTCAATAATATTTTTAAATACTCCAAGAATAAAGGTAGCTTCCGTTAATATGGGGAATTATCGACAAGTAGCATTTCAGTATTACTTAGCAAACATTTCGGAAGAATGTTTTAATAATAATAAAAATAATAATATTAATAACAATAATAACAACAATAATAACAATAATAATAATAATAATAATAATAATAATAATAATAATAATTGGCTTTATTGCCTCCATACATTGACAGCACAATTAATTCGCTAAGTACCGGGATGTTATTTTTTAAAATAAAAAGTTGCGGCGTACGCGACACTGCGCTACTTTTTTGAGCAATTAAAGATGATGTAAACAAAATTATCACCCTGTTTTTGAGATATAGGGTAACTTTGAAAACTATCGATTTTGCGACTACCCTCGCATCTCAGTTGTCTATTCAGTAATTGAAGAAAAAACGTTCTTATATGATTTTTTCAGTAGAATCCAGCGGCGTAGTTTGTTTTTTACTTGCTCTAACTGTTTATTAGTTTCGAAGCAAATATACATATTTTTTAATAGAACACCCTGTATATTATTTCTTAGATTAATTAGAAATCATTTAAGATTTTCAGAAATTAGTATAAAGTTGTTTTGAAAATTAAGCTGAAAATTTATTTATTTTTTTATTTTACTTTATTTGTAGCAGTAGGCCATGATTAATCTATTAAAAACAATATCCAAATAAACAAATATTAACACAGAAGAAACTCAATACTTAAAAGTCAATTATTTAAATGTGTTTTATACGTTATGAACTACTATTTTTAACAATTTTTAACTAATTATAGCCTATTAATCAATACGTAACAATATTATATCTAAAGAATATTAACATATTATATATTATAATTAAAACTGTTGTTTAAATTGGAGACCATTTTCTTCAATGCAAAACTCGCACATTTTTCTTATTGTTTTAATGGCATAAAATAATTATTGGTCTCATTCGTAAAGTTTCGAAAGTTAAGTCAATTGCTCCTCGAAGTTCTGTTACGGACTCGTATCGTGTTTGATGTACTTTACTTTGCATATATCGCTATAAAAAGAAATCTAAAACTAAAAGATCCGGATCCTACAGGACCGTTGGTACCTATCCATTTTTGGGGGAAGTTTTCATCTAAAGATTATCTTAAAAATCGGCGACAAAACAAAACAAAACATAAAAATATAGTACTCACCTCCTCGGTAATTTCTTTGACCTCGCCGTTTTTCTCGTCTTTTGTGGGTTTCGACTTGTCCTTTTTCGAAAACGAAATAGACCTAAACGACCATTTTTTCTTCTTCTCTTTTTTCTTTTTACTCTCAGGTATTTCCTCGGCAATCTTCTGTTCGGTTTCCGGCGTTTTCACCTCCTTTTCTTTCGTCTCCTCGGTGTCGTTCTCTTCCGTATTGGCGGGCTCGTTTTCCGGCACACCGTTTTCCTTTATTTCAACTGAAATGGCGGTGCTGTTTTCTTTCGATTCGTTTGCTTTTTCCAGTGACGTTTTTTCCGGCTCCTCGATTTCATCCTTCGAACTTTCATCTTTATCCTGCAAAAAAAACGCCGTTCATTTTGCGCTACATTTCGAATACTGGGTTCTTATGGCACCCATCATCAGATCATGGGAGTTTAATAAAAAAAAAAATTCTAACTTTTCTAAAATTTAGTATTCTTTCTTTAAGAAGAATTAACTTGGCATGCATCATAAAAAGGAGCTTTTATGTTTAAAGTAAAATACAAAAATCCAATATAAAGAATATATAAATATATATATATATATATATATATATATATATATATATATATATATATATATATATATATATATATATATATATATATATATATATATATATATATATATATATATATATATATATATATATATATATATATATATATATATATATATATATATATATATATATATATATATATATATATATATATATATATATATATGTACGTATGTTGATAGGTTTTATACAATGCAAGGAAATTGCCCGCGAAACTTCGAAATTATATTACCACGGGCAAGGACATAGTCAGTATAATTTTTATATTATAGATTTTTTTTATATTAGATATCTAAAGAGACGACCACTGTTTCCAGATATATTTGCTCGTCTGAAAATAAATCTAATTAGGCACGGATCCATTATTCAACCATTTACTAAAAATTATTTGAAGGAGAATAGAGAGCAGAGGGAAACAAATGTATTAGATTACATAGAAGCAACGCCGTTATCATCTTGCAAACATATAGAATAAGCAGTAGGTGTACCTAAATCGACTGTCCAAAAAACTTAAAAAAAAATGCAAATACCATTCACTATTAATAATATCCTTTATCGACGATATTGGCGTTTTGTTTCTTTTGAAGCCTCTTGTTTAAACAATAATCTACTTAATAAAGTTTCATACACATTTTCCACAGCCTGTTTTGCATCAAGCGACAAATCATTTCGACGTTACATTGTTATATTCTCATACAATAACTTGTCACTAAAGTAAGAATAAATTTTTTTAATGGCTTTACCCAATAACATCGTTAAGGTGTTATTGTGGAGGGTCCGTCGAAAGTCAAAACGATAAAGATTGAAACAGACTATACCGCGGGACAGTATACTGAGAATTATGACGATTGGTGAACTGATGAATATCAGATCCCTTGACAAATTTTTCAAAAGGATACTACGATTATAAGATTATAAGTGATACATAAGTGGAGAAAGAATCTTTGGTCTAATTTAAGCTATCCGGATTGGCGATAATACGCTGAAATTTGATCAAATTACCTGATATTATAACAAAACCTTAGACAACTATTTTTCAGCCTCTGTAGTCTTATGATCTTGTGATCTTTGTTGAAGAGGGCAGGCCAGTATACGTTACAGTAAAGATAAAAGGAACAGAATAGTAGCGTAACCTTAGTTTGATATAAGAGAGAGAAAATACGATTCGCTCTCAGCTGGGCACGATTGCTGTGGTCATTCGCCTATTTTCCGGCATGGATCCAGGATTGTTCTTTTGGTCATACAGCAACGCGTAAAAAGAAGAATCATAACCAATATTTGCTATCAGCTAGCAAAAAAGGATTTTCACCGATACCAAAAAAACCGGCTTCCCCCACTTCGCCCACGGACCATCCGGTTCCATCCGACCTCCATACCGACGTGCACAGGAAAAAAACAGCGGGGCCGACAATGATTACAACTTTAAAACATTGCTTCAAAATTATATTTGAAAAGTAACGCAAATTATATCACATGGAGAAGAATAAAAAAAAAACAAGTTTCATAACACGCAAGCGCAGGACTGGGACGACCGGCCGCCGTCCAACTGGTGACTCCGAACCTTGATCGCCAAGGTGCGTTATATTTTTGCTTAATCGAGTTTGATTTGCATTCGACGCTTGCAAATCTGGTTATTCCGCTTTTTCATCGAACTCGAACTCAGCACACATCCTTAGGTTTTATGGTTAGGGGATTGTATTGCTGGCTAATTGTTATTTGTGACGTGGTTATTCACATTATGCGGAATATTGTGCTCAAAACACACAAAAAAAAATACTTTGGGCTGTAAGTAACTTTTTAAAGTCACTTTCAAACTTTATACTATAACATTTTCTTGAGGATTAATAACATTGAGGAAAAGAATAAGTTTTTAAGCGGCAATGTAGCCCTTTTTGACATTCATGCCTCAGTTAAATCAGTTAGACTGAGCAGACGCCATGGCTTACGGATGCAGTAGAGCTGATAAAAAAAAACTGTCGAAAACTGGAATAGACACAAAAGTCTACGTAACTATGCTTTGTCATCCATCAGGCGTAAAAAAGCTGCACATTTAAAATTTGTTCCCTAAGAAGATGCTGCTACGATATGGAAGCGTTTAAAAAAAATAAATGTCATGTCAAGAATTAAGCCGGCAATACCACAAACATTTGCAAGATCTATAGATTATCAACAAATATTTTTTATCTATTTTTTCCAACTCCGGCGCGGATACTGGATTAATTGAATTTTATAAATCCAATAGGATAACTATTTTTGATTTTGTACAATCTTTTCAAGAAGACAGCACAATCATAAAAGAGATTAAATCAAATGCTGCCGGATGTTTGTAGCTATAATTCCATTAAGCTTTTTAATAATTTTAATAAATACTTTGAATCCAGCCCACTTCTAGTATTCAGGGCAAAATTTAAGGTCAATTTATTGGAATTATAAGTCTCTGTCCTAAACCAGTTATTTACTTACCAATAATGAATTTTTAGACTCTTATTATTATTGTAGCTTATCGTTTCATTGTTATTATATATTCGTTTAATGTTGAGTAGCTGAGATCAAGATCTGAAGATAGGCTTTGCCGTTTGAGATGTGTTACTATATTAGTATGCGCAATAATTTAAACAAAGAGTATTACTATTATTTTAATAACGTTTACGATACCTAAACCACAAGGGCTTTTAAACAATTTGAATTTTGTCAGAATGTAAGCTAATTTTAATTCCTCAAATACATAAGAAAATTAAAATTTTATTCAATGTAATTAACAAAACGTCCAGAAAATTACAAGCACATATTTTTATCCTAATGGCAATATTGTTAGTAAGAAATGCATTTTTACAATGTGACAACGTCGCGATGAACACATACTTACGCTATTGTAGGTAAGGTAAGGAAAGCATTTATTAATTCCTCCGAATGACAGCGTATACAAAATACACAATGTTATTATAAAATCATCAACATAGAAAATTTAGCATACAAAATGTTGAACAGGGAGAGACATATAAAATAATTAAAAAACAAAATAAGAACAAAATAAGAAATGTATATGTTATTTATATTTTCATCTTTAAAAAATTCTTCCATTAAATAGTAGTTTTTATTTAGCAAACAAAATTTTAATATTTTTTAAAACATTTTTTTTTTCGAAGTTGGCCATAGAGACGTTATTTATTTCAAATAATTTATTTAGAAATTTTATATCCATATAGTGTTATTCCCAATGTTATATTCAAGCCTTTTGCATCTTTTAATGATATTTTTGTGAACATTATCCAAGAATAAATATAAAGACATGGAAAAGTCAATATATTGTATTTTTCAAATATTCTACAAGAGTCTGACCCGAGGGAAGTTGTTTAATAATACCTTGACTCTCTCAGGAATTATTTTCTCCCACCTTACATAGTTACCATTGCAACCATACATATTTAGGCAACATCTATCACCGCACTAGTCCGTGTTAATCACAACCACGGCAATATTATAAACGCTTAGTCGGACGCCTGTGATATAACCATAGAACACATTTTATGTCACAATTATTCTCATCTCAAGAGTACATTATAACTTGATTAATTAAAGAACAATTTTATATTGTATACGATTTCTTAAAATTCTATAAAAATTGAAGAGTAATTTAATATAGAGGGTATAACGATGAGTAACCAATAAAAACTACAAATAAGGAAAAACATGTATTTACAAATAAATTTTCGAAATGTCATTTCCAAACACCTACATATCGTTTTCTTGAAACTCTTGTTAATTTCATACAACATATCCGGGGTTAATCTAATACGCATTTTCATTTTATCTGATGTGGTTGAAAGCGCGTCCTTAACAATTCCTTTTATGCACTATTATAAAAAGAAGTCTGGTGACGTTAAATTTGGTGACCTGGGCTGGCAATTTTGAAACTCGTCCCTTCAGTGTGTTCAATTTATACAACTAATATTGCTGATTACTTCAAATAACTAAAATCGCATCAATAAGTTGACGATATGATGCTATATTTATCGTTTAACCTTTAAGACTCGCCGTGGGCCAATAGACAAATTAATTCTGATTTTCAACTCAAACATTTTTTCTGAGCATACGCTCTACCTGAACTTTGTAAAAAATGCGTATTCGCTTAACAATAACAATTTTAACATTCTATTGAATAATAAAAATATAATATTAGTACTAATCTTATAGCTTCGCTTCGAATCACACGTATCTTATTTACTTCTGAAGAACTACGGGAAACATATTTTCAAATATTTATTATAACCACAGACATTAAATTGCGATTGTGCGATGCTCTGATTCTTTCCTTTCTAGCCTATTGAAACGTAATGTACTGGTCAGCCCTTCTCTATAAAGATCAAATGAGATTACACAGGTTACAGAATAATTTTGTTATAATATAATGAAATTTCACCGAATTTCACCATATCACAATGAGTTCGGTTGGCTTAATTTAGGGCAAACAGTCTTTCTCTATTTATGGCCCTACATTAGTACTTTTTTATAAAACTTTTGAATTCCTCCTGCGTCGGTTTTTGTTGACTCGAGATTGCTAACGTTTCGACAACCATCCTGTTGGCTTCAGAATTTGACTGACTGGAATTTTACTCTTACTTTGTACCTGCTTATATATTGTTTGAATGCGGCGGATCTAAATGAAGGGCATAAACACCCATATGGGTGACAGGTAAAGACCTGAGTCGCAGTTAAGATTGTTGCTTATAGATTTCTATAGACTCTCGGATTT